CACAGTTTTTTGTTGACCAATTTTGAGACACTTAGTGTACTCGGAATTACTTGATTTTTATAATTGTTACTGTTTTATAAGTAGACAATCTCCTCTGCAAAAATGAGATTGATTCATCGATCTGAGAGCTTGTAAACTGGGCAGGAAGTTGGAAACTTTATCGAAGCTTTCAATCCATTCTAAGCTACCAAAGTCAAAACTAAATAGACCATTTTGTAGAGAATTTAATTCTGCATCGAATGATATGTCTCTTAGCCCTTGTTAAAAAAATTTATTGGTTAAAAAATCCAAAATACGGTTTTTGAAAACTTTAAAATCCAATTTTTGATATCAAAATCTGATTTATATGCTAAATCAATATCAAATTCGTAATCAGCGTAAAAAACTGCATCTAATAGTCCAATGAGATCTGTCCAACTCGAAAAAAATGTTTTTCAAAACTTGATCAGCGAAGTGTTGCGTTACGCGGACAAGCCGTATAATGAAATAGCAAAGCGTCGTATAATAACGAATAAAAATTAAAGAATTTATATCAATTGGCAACTTCTGACTGTGTCAATAAATATGTCCGGACTAAAGTCCAGTCTGTAAGCTAACTTTAAGATGAATTATAGTGATATTAACCATCTGTCTAAATGAGCTAGCAGTTGTTGATTAATAAGAAAAAAAAAAAGGGGGGAATCATTTTATGTTTATTATACTTTGTGAAATTGAATAAATATTTACAAGAAAAAGATTGAATGTCTATTATTTATTATGATTATTGATACAATTCTGTTTTATTTATTTACTGTCTGTTTTTGTCTTCTAGTTAGGCTGTTTCAGGTCTTCGTAAATTATCAATGTCAAAAATATTGATTTTAGGTATTGATCTGTTTTTATCCTCGTACAGTATAGAGATAATTATCATTGATCATGACTAGAACAAATATGAGTGTTAATACGATCAATTTCATTTATTATTCATTAAAACTATGTGAATAGCTAATTTCATGTCGTTTCAACTGGATAAAACCATTTGTAGTTCCTAAATTGTAAATGAAAAAAAAAAAAAAGAAAAAAAGTCTTGTGTCCAATATCTCATAGCTTAAAAGTAATACTGGATTTCGACTTTATACAAAAATTATCATTAAATAAACAAATTGATAATCAAGAATGAAAGTACCTTTTCGATTTCAATAAGAGAATAGAATAATTTTTTTCATTATGTATATTTATATTCAAATGAGTAACATGAACAAGAACATTTATCTGATTGTTTCAATTAGAAATGAACACAGAAGACAACGATGTGATCGTTTTGTGTTCTGTTCAGTAGGAAAGGACGAAACCTAAATTTCTATCCTATGACAAAACATACAAGTTGGCCTTGTATTTTTATATATATTTTTCCTCACAATTTGCACATAATACTGATTGTCATTGATTATATATGATACTTATTATGAGTTGTAAGTGTCACTATTGAAATGATAAATAGTGCTAATTTTTAACCTTGACCGACAAGAATATGCTATTAGGAATATGAAATAACTAAAAACAATAAACAGATAGTAATACTCATCAATTGTCATTTATTTATTCGTATGTTTATTGATTTCGTGTTTTACTTTGTTATTCTTTTTTTGATTTTCATATTTTTGATACATTCAACATAAGATGACATATGTTCTCCACATGAGGTCCTTCACAATGCAGAAAACTGCAGTGATTTACTTCAGTTAGAAAACATAAAAAATATGCAGTTATCAAACATGTATCACTCATCCTACAGATTTGCTAATTCCCGTTGTCTGAAAGACTGGTACTTCAATGTATATTCAAAAAAACCTGTTAGCACAATCCCTGCTGGATTAAAATGTCAAACACGATGCAGCTGTTGTTACTAATTACGCGAATATTGTTTTATTCGGTCAAACTTAGGACCCATTTAGTCATCATTTTTTACTTGATTCTCTACAATTGCAATAAGGAAGCAGTTGATATATTCTCATGAGATTCTAGTGATTTATAATTGGTAATCATGTATAAGGATCCAGCAAGTCTGGCTTTTGCATTTTTAACTCCAGTATTTCTATCAATCCATATTGAGAGTGGTACGCATAAACACACTGTCAGTCATAAAAATTTCTTTATGAGAGTCAGTAGTAGATTCTGTAGTCTGGTCATAAATTAACTCGTTAAAGTTTCAGATGTACGGTTCGACAGATCAAGTTCGCAAACGATATTGTCTTGAAGTAACACAACCAGGTAGATGTTCTGTTTTGTTATTAGGGAGAGCGAGAAGTCTTTTGTCAGATCAAGCAGATCAATATTTTTTTTTTTACTTTTATTGTGTCCGTAACGATCGCAATGATAGATGATAGATGCATTTTATATACCTTGTTGATTACTGCTCAATTGTACAGTTCTGTGCAAGGATTATGTCAATACATGAGAATCAAAGCCTAAAATTCCATACAAATAATAATTCATTAAGACTATAATCTGAACAATTAAAAGTACATCTTAAAATTTGATTTTTTTTCTAAAATTTTTTAATTAAAGTCTGAAATTTTTGGGGGAGGGGAGAAGCCCTCCCCGCTCTCCTCAATCGGGAACCCTGCACTTGCAGTCCTCTATCTATACTGTATATCTTAGGCTTTTCTCGTTTGGTATATGTGTATATGTAATTTCAAGTGTAGTCATTTTCACATACAATTACAAGTTTAATTTTCATTTGTACATTCAATATTTGTTTAATATATTTATGATATGGTACGTATACAGGACACCATGTACTAATATATTCCAGGATAACTTTTTATATTATGTTTCCTTTCTTGTATTATGACAGATAGAGTTTACTTGTTGGTATAGAAATCATAGCCACTATACCAACAAGTGAACTCTATACATACATACATACATACCAAACGATAAAAACCTCAGATATAAAGTATAGATAGAGGACCACTAGAGCATTATAATGATTAATATATGACCCGTTCATATCAGTCTATACTATATGAAAAACAAGAGAACACATCATCATGAAATCAAAAAAATTAAAAAAAAATCAAAGTTTAAGATGTACTTTTAATTGTTCGGACTATAGTTGCTTCTGTTAGGAGACATCATAATAATTCATTAAAAAAATTGAAATAATAACTCTATATTCAAACTGGAATAGTTTTTTTCCTTCAATATTCTATTAGACTATATTCACCTGAGAACTTATGAGTTTTCTCTATACGGCTGCGTTAGGGTGTGAGTGTCGTCGCAGATTAACCGAAAACACACAGCCACATCCACCCCACACCTTCAACTTCATCATTTTCCCTTAACATTGAAGCAAAATATATTGCACTTATGTGTCGCTAGTTATAATGTCGTAGACTCCACCACGAAAATGGGTCGCAATCCGGGTGTGTCGTGATCTGTCTGCTGACTATTCATTCATCCTTGTGTTTTTCACATACAACTATACATAACCAACTCAATTGAACATGATGTATTTATATGCATTTTTGTATATCCTTTTTTCTAGATCATTTCTCAATTAGTTATTAGTCGAAAAAATCCCAATAGATCGATTGTTGATCGAAACAGGACTGTCTAGAAGCAGTCTCATCGAGATCAGACAAATTCGAGTCCATAATATTTATTCAAAACAAGTTAATATGTATTATTGATTATATTCCGGTAGCAATGAGTATTGCGAAACCTATTTTCAGATAGAATCAACTGATCGAAACTAACTTTTCCATCTACGTTAGCAGAAAAACAAATTTCATCAAACTATTAATATATTTAAGATAAAAGTGGATTGTAGTCAATGATAGAGATGATGAGTTATTCTTTTTACGAACTATCGATTTTTCGATAATCAACATTTGAAACGTCTTTGCACCGCATGTCGGAATGTGGATTTTGGCAAAGGTAGCACTAATTTTAAAAGTGCTTTGATAAAGTAGTTAAGTTTCAAAGTGTATCTTTAAATTTAGTTTTTAAGGTAAAGTAAAAGTGACACTTCTAGTTTTGATCCAGTTACTGTCTAGTAATTATCTTAAATTTTGAAAAAACAATCAAGATCCATAAAAGTTTGCCTTTTTTGTGGGAGTCATCTGTTTAAAAAACGGACTCTTCTACTAAAGATTGTAACTCATGTCAAAAAAAAAAACAAATTATATAAAAATCATTAAAAAACTTCATTTTTAATCGATTATAACAAAAAAATAATCGTAGATATTGAAATTTCATCGATTATTCTGATTAGTTTTAATTTAAACTCGATTTAGAACTGTACAAAAAAAAAATTCATTTTTAATCAATTTCGTGTTGTTGTTTTCAGTAGTAGAATATTTATTCAGTTTTTGTTTGTTTTACATTAATTATAAACAATTTCTTTATGATTATGAAATTAATTTACCTCTAAAACTATTCAGAATAATCAATGACATTTCGAAATTTTTGATTATAATCGATTCTAAATGATTTTTTTTTTACATCGAAAAATCGACAGTAACTATTCGATGATGAAATTTTATTCTAACATTCGATTGAATATTTTCCGAGTAACCATTCTCAAGATCATGATCAGATAAAAGATATACTTTCGATGCATAGGTCAAAAGTGAAAAAATAATTTGGATTGGTGTACAGAAATTACATTAATACAGGTATTTTGTTTTTTTTTGCTATGGTGAATGCTTTCATTTTCATAGGTAAATTGTAAAAATGAAATCTATTCGTATGCTCGATAATTAAGTATTTTTTCCACTTGAGTGATTTTTTGTTCTTTTATAGAGTATTCTTTTAATAATGATGCGTCAGATCACGCGCGAAATGGAGAAAAACGAATGGCGAAAAAAAGATGTTTCATTTTTAATGTCACTTTTTCAAAAACAAGATAGGTGTGATAGCAGCATTTTGTCAAAGCAATATTAATAAACTGTGGAGTACGATCACAATTCAATATATCAAATCAAATTGATTTTTAAATATTCATCAATATAAACATGACTTCACGATCGATTTCGCGAGAAAATTCTCTTCAACAAGGTAACATTTTTATTTCAATTTTTGATAAACTTAAGCAAATATTAGTTGGTTATATGTTGTTTTTTGAAGATCACTTAACTTTAAAATGAATGTTATAATGAACAACATTTACATTGCTATTTCTCTTCTTAATTAATAATTAGAAGATTCAATGAGTTTTAAGAATTTTATTTCAGAAGATTTTCTCATAGTTCGAAAACTTAAAATATTATATTTAGTAATAACATAAAGAAAATGATCAACATTCTTAATAGATATTTAGAGCATTTTTGATACAAATTGCCATTGATAAGGAATCAATAAAAATTTTCAAACAGCATAGATTTGAACAAAAACATGAAAAATGAAATTTTATTACGTTAATTTAGATTCACAATTTCAGTGAAGTTGATGAGAACAAATATTTATTGATAATTATTCGCCACAGTGACTTTCAGAATTAATTGATTTTTGTGACAAATTAACTCTGTTTGTTGAGATTGTAATTTTATCTATTTTTTTTTAACGTAACGGATGACAAATTTACACACATTTTCTTCATATAACTTTTAACAGGTTGTTTGTATATGGAATAAAATCTTTCTATTGATAAGAAAAAGTGTTTCCAAGAAAACTAACATAATCAATCAATTAGAAAGAAAAATTTCTTTTTCTTTTTTTTTGTTTTTAGAAAAACCATGGCTCTTTCCTCAATATCATACAAATGGAATGATTAAGAAACTCAGTGACCTCGAAAACGAGCTGCAAAATCCGCCAGAACTTATCTCTAGAAATGTATTAGATCGCATTCAGGGTTCAATGATAGGTTTGGCGTTGGGTGATGCTGTTGGTGCTCATGTTGAATTTAAAACCCGAGATTTTTTGATCAAATATCCAGTAGACGATCTCCGAGGTGGTGGCACTTGGGGACTTCGAAAAGGAGAGGTAAATTTCCTTCATACAAATTTATTTACCATTGACTCAATTAGTGTTCACTAAAGCTCAGATCCTACACAAACAAAACAAAAAAGCCTGTCCTTCAGTTTTAAGTTTTGACATAGATTACAAGTTAATTGCTTGTCAGGAATTATTCTTCTACTTACAAGATTTTCAGATAGTTGTTTTTTTCAAATATAACAATCACAAAGAAAATCACATCACTCTGAAAATAAAAAAACAAAATATTTCTTTTACGTTATAGGAGTTTCTCATATTTGATTCTTCCATTTATGTGAAGTGTCCATCAATGAAAAATGTTTTTGATAGGAGATGTAGGAAATTCATACATTTTTCGGTTAAAGTTTCTAGTTTTCTATTAGCTTTTACAAATTTGAAAATAAAAGGATATACGAATAAATTCTGTTAGGTTTTTCATTCATTCAATCTCATACAGGGAAAAAACAACAAGACCTTAAATGATGCGTAATACTTGCCGATCTTACTTAGTAAGTTAGATCAAATGGAAACAAATCATGCAATCATTCAGCTTACTTTCATTCTATAGAAGATGTAGATTTCGTACAGTTCTAGCTTAAAAATCGAGACGAACTTCTTAAATAGAAAGTCACCAGATTTTTTTCACACCTTTCCGATCAGTTCAAGCGAAATTCGATTGTTTCCTAAGTCTGGAATTGTTATATCTTAATTTTTCGTATTCTTATATTATACTCTGATATCACCGAGACAGTAATGTGATGGTACTACAGAATGAAACAAAAGAATAATCTTCCTTCACATAGAATCGAACCATGCATCTCCTGCTTTCCGGGCAGTCGTATTAACCTTTGTACTAGAAAGGAGTGTATCTTATTCTATTTGTTTCGTCTTATGAATGAAGGGGAACACTTCAGTTCATAACATCTCCCTCCCTACACGGGGGCTACGTGTAGTGCCACTAGAGAGAGAGAGAGCTGTATGTTGTTTCCCAGTCAGTGCACCGTTTTAATGACATACACTCTTCTTCTTCAAGAAAAATCATTATCTGTATATATTTGGAAAAAAATATACAAGAATCACACCCAACAAAGAAAAAAAACAAAATATATGTATCCTCCTCTCATGCATCATATGCCAATTATGCTCTCCTACTCAGAGAGTGACTTATGTGAAGAGAGACGGAAAAAGAAAAAAAGAAGCAAAGAGTGTTTAGAAGCTCATCGAGAACATGTATCATAGTCATCGGCCATGACAGGAATCATCGACCTGAGGATTAGATTAGTTCTTGTTCAAAGAAGTTCTCAACACTTCCTCAGATCAAAACTATTATTGAGTTGCAATACCCACAGAAGAATGTCTAATTAAAAATGAAAATATTTTACAATTGTTTCTTGTCGTTAGCCCTTATGGAGAAAAGCACTTATATCTGCGCTGTAGATATTAGATTAATCGGTTTTATTTTCTGAGCTTTCTCAACTTGTTAGTGCGAAAAATAATTGTATAGAGAGCGACAATTCGATAACAAAATCTAACAAATGAGTATCTTGCTTCTGAGTGATAGCAGCAACGTCCATGAACATATATAAATACGAAATCATATCAATCGTTTGAGTGTCCAAATCTACTATTTCAATGTGATTTAGGGAAACCTTCCCTTTTCTGACTCAAAATTTTCAGTTTTTTTATTTTTTATGTCGGATATGTGTATTTAAATGTTCTCTATCTAATGAACACATTTTGAGAAGGCAAAACTACATTTTTGTACATAAAAATCTCGAAAAAAAACCTCAATTTTATGCTAAAAAAGCCAAAAAGCGCAACTTTCTTTGCATTTTTCTCAAAATCAAAATTTTCAAAAAAAAAAAATGAAGTTTTCCTCCTTTTCTTCCTCGCGGTACCATTGATCAGACTCGACATTTTTTTAATAAGTATTTTGATCGAATTGGGGCGTGTCTTTTGTTTTTCTTTCGTGATAATATTGTTTCTATGAAATTTTGCAGACTTTGAAAAATTAGTACCATTGAAAAAAAAAACGTGTGTTTTGATAGTACCTTCGTTATTTTTCCTCTCCTGAGCTGTAGAAACAATATTTTTTCAAGAACAAAAAAAATGTACGCTCCAATTTAATCCTAGTTGTCACAGAAGAAATGGCAGTTCAGAAAGACATAGTATAAATTTTTGTGGAGGAGTGAAACCTCTACCTATTTTTGGCCCTTGAGGACCCTATATCTTCTTGAAGGAAGGATCTGGAATTTTTGAGTCTAGGACAACTTTTGCTCTATCCATCGAGATCTATCTGTACTGAAAGTTTCATAAGTTTTCGTTGAATCGTTCTCGAGAAACCACGAAAAGAAGAACCTTTTAAAAATTGTTCCTGTAGTATATATTTATTTATTCTAATCAGATATATCGAAAGGAATATGTTTGTTTTATATTAATTCAAAGAGAATAAAGAATGTTACAGAAGATATATACAATCATAAAACTTCTAAAAAGGCATACAACATCGAGAATAATTTTATTGAACACACTTCATAGATAAGCATAATAAAGTAAACAATTTTTAATAATTATAGATGTGTTGTTAGTAATTGCTACTATAATCAACATACTAGAAAAAGTTCTTCTAACTTTTTCTATTCTTTCAAAATCTTGAAATCAACTACTTCTCACATAATTTTAGTTCACCGATGATACATCTATGGCTTTATGTCTAGCGAGTTCTTTGGTGGCACATCGAGGATTTAATTCTTATGATCAGCTCGTTCGATACAAATGGTGGTTTAAGAAAGGTTATCTGTCTTCTATAGGTGAATGTTTCGATATTGGTGCGTCTACCAAACGATCATTGCTTGAATTTGAAATTCGTCAATATGATTTTGCTCACAAATACAATATTTCTGATGATCAAATAGACTATCTTACACCTTCTCAATCAGAAAAATTCAATGTAATCTGTAGTGAGAAAGATGTAGCTGGTAATGGTGCTTTAATGCGACTCGCTCCTGTACCACTCTTTTTCTATCGTCATCCTAAACATGCAATCAATTATTGTAAAATCAGTGCAAGATTAACTCATGATGATCAACGTGCTTATGATGCTTGTCGTTATTATGGCGCTCTAATTGTAGCTATTCTTCGAGGCGAGAACAAAAATGATCTGCTCGACAACAATTTTTATTCCAATCATATAGATTGGTTCCAGTATGAACCACTTCATCCAGACATAATGAAAGTCGTTCAAGGATCTTATAAAAAGGAGCATGGATATGATCAAGGTATTCGAGGCGCAGGATATATTGTCAATGCATTAGAAGCTGCTTTGTGGGCCTTTCGTTTTGATGAAGGTTCGTTCGAAAAGGGTGTTCTTGCTGCTGTTAATCTCGGTGAAGATACTGACACAACAGCGGCAATTTATGGTCAATTAGCCGGTGCTTACTATGGTTACAATCAATTACCTAAGAAATGGTTGAAACATCTATATGGTCATAATTTTATACAATGTCTAAGCAAATGGATTGCATATGAAGGAGAAAGATGGAGCCCAGATGAACCAGAACATTCGACGGCGACTGGTCAAGCTAGGCGACAATCATCAATTATCGTGGAATTGTCTACTAATCGACGTCCATCTTCCACCAGGAGCACACCCGTTTTTCAATCTAATTCACAACAAACCGGTGAAACACATAAGAAAAATTCTAAACCGACGTCCGACCGCGTTTTCGAGATAACGGTTGAACAAGAACAAAATAAGCCCGCAAGATTGACTGCATCTATAACGCAACCAAATAATGCTGGTGGAGTTCTTAAGCCACAAGCTAGTTTTCATGATGACGGTGATTTTCGTTGGAAAAGCACTTCAAAAAATGATGTACCTTCTATTCGTCCAAAATCACTGCACCCCGTTGCTTCCATGGCTACATCTAAACGTAAGAACTTTATATTTGATTAAGTTATATAAAAAAAAAAAAAAAACGTTTACACAATTAACTTTTTCCAAACATTTTTCTCATGAGTATGTTGAGAACTATGTTGTATTACTTTCTTTTTTTTTTTTTTATAGCAACGGATTCTTCCACACGCTTGGAAGACACTGACGATGTTTGCCGTTGGATCATTTCTTTGGGCGACGAATATGCAAATTATGCACCTAACTTCAAGAAAAATAACGTTGATAGATTTTGGCTCCTTCATGTAGTTGATAGAGATGTTCTTCGTGAATATGGAGTCGAGAATGCAAGACATCAACGAACAATTCTTGCTCAAATTAAAGAGTTGAATAAACAACGTACAACCGAAGCTTTAACAAAGACAAACAAGGAACTCAGTTGATCGTTCCTGTTCATAAGAAAATTGACATTTAATCTGCAATTTAATGTTTCTTACTTATTTCACAAATATATTGTGTGTTCTCTTATAAAACTTGACAAAATATCTTTCAACAATTTGAAGCTATAATTAAAATATTTCTGGTTTAATATACTAAATCATAACAATTCTCCTTTTATGACTTTGTCATTGAGAAAATAATGGCCTGACGTTTACGGTTTTTTTTTAGGGGAACGAAAGTAATACAGAGATACAGCATCTTATTGGGATTTGAAATTATAATCCGCTCTATATTAGGGTTGTAATGACAATCTCTAATAGCCGCGATATGTAAGTGACAGAGTGTGCATCTTTGAATAATACATATGTCAACAGTAATTTTACACCTTAATGACCAATCAACGACTGTTGTACTTCAAATAGTTGGTACTGGGAGAGTTGCTCCTCATAACCAACGAACACAATTCTTATTGATAACAAGTGGAAGATATAAATTTACTGAATTAAGATGTAGAAATCAGTAATAGAATAATCAATATCTTATTAATTATAAAGATAATAGAAATATTATACAATTAAAAATAAGCAACAATAATAGAAAAATAAAACTAATGTGTAGATTTTACTGAAGAGAAGACTCACACACATACTCTCAAAATGAGTTCTATTCGTTGCTCATGAAGAGCAACTGCCTGGAATGCAACAATCATGTTTATCCTTAATCATATCAGACAGCAATCAGAATCAGGAGCAAACCATAGCAGTATATCGTATCAATTATATGTTTTAGCATTTTTTACTTTGTAAAAATATTATAGATGGAATATCTTATTCTAAAAGTAGTGACGGTTATACATCCTTTAAAAAAAAATAAAAGTATTAACTCATGTTAGGATTATAATGTTGCATTGTTCATCATACATTTTATTTTTTGTCTCAAGCACTTATGTTCATTTCTATTGTAATGTTTATATCTACCATATCGACATTTTCTCTATGTGAATTGAACTGTATTTAATTTTGTACTCAGATTCTTATAATATAAACTATCAAATAAAATTTAACACAAAAAAAGCACATCATATGCAATCTCATGCTTGATTTAATCCTGTGCTCTAACGTCGACAAAATAATGACTTACTCAAATATTTATCTCATCATGCATGATTTTTAAAAGTATTCGACTTTTTTTAAGGATGTAAAATTGAAACGAATAGAAATGTAAAAAATTTTATTAATGCAGATCTCAAGCAAATAAATGAATGTATACTTTTAATGAAATCTTTTTTTTTTCGTATGTCTTTAAAAGTATTTAAACTTATAATGAGAATTAATGACATACTAATTTTTTGTTTTATGTGATTCGTTAAAGTATAACAACATACTAATTATAAATAGTAAGAAATGTTTCATGAGACATTTAAAGACATATTGATTTCTCAAAATATTTTTCGATTATTTTTATTCTATTTAAAAACTTACAAATAGTATTACACAAATAGAAATTTTTCATCTCATCAATGAAAATATAAAATTATTCAATAGATTATTTTTATCAATTTTTACTTTCTTGTATTTTCTAGAAGGCAATGTTCTTTTGTCTACAAAGAAGAAAAAGAGATATTACCTCTATATGAATACTTCTTGTATAATAGAATAAAATAACAGACGATGTTAATTTTGTCGTTCAATACAACGCGATAAAATCTAATATTGTATTTATGATGATCTCACTTGTAAATGATAAATAAAACTTATTAGAAAAAAAATTAGAAGTTTTATTTAATACAAATCTAAATATTTGATTTTAATTTCAGAAGTTTATTGTATTGCTGTCATTACTATGAAGCTATAGAGATAAGTATTATGAAGATTAGTTTCTGCTTCATAATTGATGATGATGTTGTGTGAGGAATTGAACTAAGATCAAGAGAAGTTTTATTATCTTCACCCATAGATTTATATTAACAATGGTTTCATTCAATAGAACAACAAACATACTTCATTGTACTTAGATTTAATGCAATATGTAAAAACAAAATGAAAATTTTTGTTATATTGTACAACATTCTCTTTTAATAAATAGTCATTCACATTTCAGTTTGAAAAATCTACTTTAAATGCTTGAGTTTGATGAAATACTCAATTAATTCAAAAACTATATTCTATTTATATAAAATTGATAACTGATAATGTGCAAATGAAGAAATAAGATTTTCTTCCAGTAAAAAAAAACTAAACTTGAACAATATTCGAAATTGAAATTCGTCATTCAGTAATTTAATTATATTTGAATAGAATACAAACTATTGAATATAATGATCAATCATTAATTATTATACAAATGTTTAAAACTAGATTTGAGCATTCAGATATATTATATTTCATCATCACAATCGTATTCATAGGAACAAAATATGAATCCCAATAGATTAATAATAATGAAAACAGTGACTAGATGTATTATTAATTGGAATTTTGGAATTAATATCATTTTTAATGAAAAAAAAACAACAACATCAGTATATTGACTATAACAGGCTTCTGTCTCTTCATCAAAAGATTTAAGTATAGTCTTCAAAATCGAAATTTGTAGTATGCACGAAACATGAGATTAAGTAAAACAAATTTTCATACTCTATTTCATTTATTAAATTATTAAAATTATCTTTACAATATCAATATGACTTACAATAGAAGAGTGAATTGTTTATTTTAATTTTTATTTCATATATTATCAATCAGAATTACAGATATGATTGTAATTTTTAGCATTAAAAATCTTTAACGACCTGTGAGTTTCAAGCAATCGAAAGAGGACAACTTCGAACAATTTTTTTTTTTATTTGATAAGATATAAGACAAAATTATTTTAAAATGTATCATTTTCGTAAAATATTTTTAAAAAATGCATGAAAATTTTCTTAAAATCAATAGAAATTTTATATGATTTAATCAAATGAATAAGTGATTTTATTTGTTCAACTTTGATATGTAAGAAAAGAACTACCTGAAGTGTTTCTTAAACTATAAATCTGAAGTACATGTCAAAATCAAAATTACATCGAAACAGAACATCGTTTTCATTTATCTTCTTAAATGTTCTGCAAATATGATGGGTTTAAGCATAATTTTATTCTATATAGTATTCGATAAAAAGATGTTCGGAGTTGTTCTCTTTCGATTACTGAAAACCCTAAGCCATTAGCTATTTCCATTATCAAGTTATTCAGCTTACATACACTTCTGATGTAGATAATAATTAGAGAATGAATCAATTGTCAATTATATCAATAATTTATTTTTATCATAATCATCTTCATGATATAATTATCATCTAGCACAAATTGTAGTAAATGAAATTTAATATATATATATATATATATTTATTCGAAAAAAATTATTAATAATAAATCATATTAAAAAACACAAAACGAAAAGCTAACCCAATCAATAATCACACAGGATCATCAGCAATTGTAGTATAATTAGTTTTGCCTATGATAATGTCGAAAAAGTAACCATTTGTATTAACTAAATTAATTACCTGATGTTTTTTCATATTCTTCTTTTAAACATCGATAGATAAATAAATATTGATGCTAATATTACAAAACAAAAAAAAAATTTACTCTTTTTTTTTTTGTTAAATTTCATTTGAAATAAATTTTACCTCATTTTGAACCATTTTATCTCTACATTGTCTCATATTAAATATAGTTCCATAAATATCTAAATAACCAGTAAATGATAATTTATCAAATTGTTGTAATAAACAATCAAGTGCAATAAATGTTCCACTACGACCAACACCAGCACTACAATGTACTAATAATGGTCCATAATCTTCTGGATGACATTCCGAACGAATTAAACGAATAAAATTAATAAGTATATTACTATTTGTTGGTATTGTATGATCATCCCACATTTTAAATGCATAATGTTTTATTGTACGAATTCCATCATTCTAAATAATTGAATCATTAGGACGTTTATTTTCTTTTTTTTTATGATTTACGATACATAAGTATCCATACAAAGAATGAACTCAAGACATGGAACTTTTCTTCTTTTAATAATTAAAAATGTAAAAATAAAAAAGAAACTCTGTCATACTCTGCATCCTGATATACTTTTTCAAACAAAAAAACTTAAATCTATAGAATGAAAATCTACCGAGAATTTTGGATTAACAAACAAGCTATTCTTGACCCTTGTTTGTTGAATATCTCATGAAAACGTCATGATATAGAGCTGAAAATTTCACCATAGTCTCTTTACTACCATTTCCAACATATTTTGAAAATTTTATGCGATTTGAATGTACCTAATCCAAGACTGATTTTTAGCGGGAGCTCAAATTACATGCTAAATTCGATTATGAATATGCATTTAAAGTACAAGTTCTGAGAACTAGTAATATCCCTTAAATAAGAAGTACATTATATTTATTTATCTATAGCAAAAGGTTAGAAAATATGATAACAATGTTCGATAGAAAGTTCAATTTACTTTTGAATAATCTTTTTGATATTTATCGGTATGTGTCAAACTGATAGTTCGGTTATTAATTAATTATACTCGTTGATTTAATACCGAAAATTTGGCGAACTTTATGAAACGAATACTACGATGATATGATATAATGACAGATGAGATATAAGTAAGAGAGAAATTCTAGTCTGTAAACCGATAAAACATTTTACTTATCATAAGAAAATGACAACATGTAAAGAAACAATATTTGTCACTTTCTTGATGATAATGTACTTCTTATTGAAGGGGATATTATTACTAGTTCTCAGAACTTTTTGAACACTCTATGCATATAGTTTACTCTATCTATGAATGAAAAATCTAGGTTTCCAATATTTTTCGTTCGAACATAGCAGGTCTTGACATTTGTACGGATACTCCTATGCATTATAGGTTAGATATAAATACATAACATTTTTTTAACCTTTTTTAATTCAATATAACGTAATTCATAAGCAGTCACATTAACACATGCAGTGACACATACAGAAATATCACCAAATATTTCAGCATGATTCAAATCTAATGGCCAATATTGTTCACATTTATTCTATAAAAACAAAAAAGAAAAGAAAAGATAAATCAATATGATTCTCTGATGAATGCAAACTAAGAGAAACATGCTGACGTGTCTATTTTGCCTATTGAATAGATATGAAACAAATTTTAACTGATTGCTTTTGCTGACGGTTATAGAGAGCAAACATTCTTTTTTTTTTAGAGATTCATTTAGCTATCTAACAATTGTGTTGGACGTTCATTGTTTAAATGAATATATAAATAGAATGATAAATCTACAGGTATTACATTCATTTATTATTATCAATAATTTTAACATAAGAAAAAATAATCGTTTTTATCAATAACAATGAACAATTGGTTTTATATGAATCGAATAACATTTAAAAATCTTCTTAATGATGAATTAGGTTCACATCTTACGAAAAAATTATTATCACTCGATTTTGATCATCCAATATCATTTATGATTGGTGAAACATCAGATGAAATTTTAATAAAAATTCAACAAACATTTAGTCGTAAAATTTGTCATCAATTCATTTGTAATGAACATTGTATATCATGTTCATTTAATCCATCAACATATGCAAAATTAACTTGGTTTGTTCAACGTTTACTAATTATGAGTCCATTACGTAAACCTTTTATTAAACAAATTTCATTAGGAAAATTATCTAATGAAGATTTATCATGTATAAAAAATACGAATGTTATAACTACTTACAATTCCATTGAAGAAAATTCATTAAGTGTTAATATAAACAAAAATAATAATAATAATAATAGAAATATATCAATTCAAGTAAGTTTTTTAAATATTATTTCATAAAAAAAAAATGTAACATTATTTATATTTTCGTTCTATTTCAAAGAATTCAAATGATGAATGTTCAGAATGTGAAAAGTTAACAATGATTATATTAATTATGTTCTCTATTATTGGTTTTATTGTTTTTCGTACTATTTTCATTTATTGAACAATTTATGTTATACTGATTTATTTTTTGAAATATTTCAAAAATAAATAATCTTTACATTATCTTCTGTTAGAAATTGATTATAGTTGTGCTTTCTCTTATTTCTCTGTAATTTGTGTTTATTTTTGACAAATAAATTTTTTCTATAATTTGATTTAATCAAATCTATTCAATTATTATTCATTTCAGAAAAGAACTGATTCAGTTGTTTGTTGAATAATTCGACAGTGTTGATAACTATCGAGCTCGGATTTTCACTGTTAGAAAGAGCATGAGTGAAGGTACAAGTCTACTTGAGAATCAAAATACTTGAAAAGTTTTCAGGAGAATTTCAGGGATTTTTTTAGAAAAGCACTGTCTGATTCGTTTGACTAGCTGTATTTTCAATTTCAATTCAGCCATATTATAGCCAAATGACTACTAGATAAATTCCGAAATTTTTAGATGTTTTCGACCTTTCCTTAAAAGATTAACCATTTTTACTGAATTTTCTATCCTTTCCTAGGTATTTACCGGAAAATGAAATTATGACCTGAAAATTTGCCCATAAAATATCTTGAAAATTTTAGTCAAAAAGGATATTCCTTTCTCGAGATATTGGATTTTCAATTGCACTTGAAAATAACCATAATCAAGCGAATCAGACAATGATTTTCTAAAAAATCCCTGGAACACCCTAGAAAATTTTTCAAATATTTTGATTCTCAGATAGACTTGTACCCTCATTCATGCTCTTTCTAATGGCGAGAATCCGAGATCGATAGCTATCAGCGTTGTCGAGTTATTTAACGAACACCCGACTTCATTCTTTTTTGAAATGGATAAGAAGTTACTTGGGGTTAACCAAAAGTTCCAAGCCCGACATTTAAAGGACATTGTCGGATAAGGTAATCTATTCAGAAATGAAAAATCAAATATCCGATGTTGTAGAACTTTTTGAGGTACGTCGAATGGTATATAGTAAATCTTGTTTTCATAAGGCTTTAAAGGAACTAGAGTCAATTCACTAATAGGCCACTACATATCCACACCCAAGCATGATAAGTTTCTGAATATTGTGGTCCTTAGTATTAGTCTAAAGTATTTGTAAAATTTTTTTTCTTACATATGATTTCGTAGAATTTTTGACGGGTTACAACCTCATATCCGTAGCATCTCCGGTCATCTTGCCAGTGTAAGTTTGTGGTTGTCTATCAATAAATTGACTCTAGTTTCTTCAAACTCTTATGAAAACAAAATTTCCTATATGTCATTCGACGCGCCTCAAAAAGCTCTACAACATGGTCTACTTGGTTTTTCATTTCTGAATAGAAGGTTACCTTATCCGACAAGATCCTTTAAACGCCGAGCTTAGAATTTTCGGTCAACCTTAAGTAACTGTTTAAATATATCAAATTTCAGTTTATAAAAAAAAAAAAAAACTATTTCGACTTTTCTATTAGACTTACCATTCCTCGTTCTATGAGTCCTGTAAGCATAACAATAATCATAACATTTTGTTCCCAAATCATTTTCCAATGGTCATTAATCGTTGATTTAAGTGGACCTTGACATGCAATATACTCTCGAGGGTTATGTAATCCCTATGTGTTTTTTTTCAAAAAAAAAAAAAAAAATTCTTGAATTAATATTATTCGAATATTGAACTTACACTAATAAAATTAGCATTGATATATCCTGGATCACATTCATCAACAGGAATCAATTTAACACGTGAATGTTCATCTAAATAATCAAAAATATTTATTTTAAAATAAAATAAAATAAATATTTATACAAGGTATTATATCTTTATATCGATTTTTAAATGATTGATTACATTGTGTAATTTCTGGAATTTGTTGAAGATTATTTTGAAGTTTCTAAAAACAAAAAAAATCGAATAAAATTTTGTAATCTTAATAAATAAAAATAAAAACGAACGTTAAATTCATCAGATAGATTATAATAATTATTTGCAATTAATTTTTCATATTCAAATGGAAGATCTTTTATTCGAATAGGTCTAAACAATTGAGATTTTATATACAATTATTTTAATTCAATTCTTTTATTACCTTGATGTTAAAATATTTCTGAAACAAAACAAAACATAAAAATCATATATAAAAAACAAAAAAATAAATAAATTAAAATATACTTTTTTGATTCTGTTGGATAGATTTGTTTCGAATTTGAATATCTATTAATAATACAAATACTTTTTTTTTTCTCTCTCTCTAATTATTCATTTTGAGATCAACTTACATATTAACTTGATTAACAATATTATTCATTTTTGTTGTTCTATTTGTATGATTGATTGTTGTTCTTTGTTGTCTATCTCGTTGAGTCAATTGTTTCCTTTTATTTTCTAAGATAGAAAAATCATTCAAAATTAGAATCAATAAATCTTACCGACGATTATATCGATATACAAAATAAAAAGCAACTAATATAATTAAAATTAAAATTAATAAAATAGCAATTACACAAGGAATAATAATAGATTGAAGATTAGATCCTTCTAATCAAATAAAAATTTTATTAGAAATATTAAAAATGATATATATATATATACTTTTCGTTATTTCATTATTAATATTCGAAGTTAAAATAAGTTGAGTTTCAATAATATTTGATATAACTGTTTCCGAACCAATTTGTTTTGTTTCAATATAAATTCGATAGAATTCATCAGGTATTAAATCAGTACAAATAGTTGAATTAATAAATATTCGACGTTGTTTTAATGGTATTATTTCACAAATTAAACTAAATCGATCAAAACATCCATATGGTCGATCAAAATCAACTTGAATTTCTCTTAATATTGGTGAAAGAGAAATTATTCGAAGATTTTTAATTGATTCTAATGCTTAAACAAAAAAAAAGCAAACAAACAAATCAATCAAATTAAATGATAAATAAATTAATAATCTTTTGTTTTGTTTACGTGTTTGAAATTGAACATTTGTAAAATTTGAATTATTTAATTGAATATCACATTGAAATTTTGAACATAATGAATTAATATTTGTTTGATTAAATAAAATATGAAATTGATATCGACAACCACATCGAAGTTGATTACAATTATAAATTTTTTCATTTAATATACATTCTGTTGAGTATGATATTGTAAATCTATTTATTAATTCTGCAACACAATATTCATTACTTTTCCAAGTATGAATTCGTAATGGAGATGGATCTTTTTAATAATAATAATAATAATTAAAAAAAATAAATTTGATTAACATACGATACTTGTACTTACTTGTATTAATTAGTTTATAAATAGTTTGTTTTTTCCAAATGAAAATATTTTGAAATGAATCTCGATGAATACTAATAGATATATTATAAATTGATCCAGGAATAAGTTGATTAAATATATTTGATATTGAACAAAATTTTAAACTATCATCAATTATTTCTTCAATACAATAAATTATTTTTATTGTTGATAAATTATATTGATTAATATTTACAATTAATGTATTTTCAGATAATCGAATAATATTTTCAATTATTAATTTTTTAAAATCTAAATTAGTTTAATTAGAAAATTTTTATACAAAGTGTTTATGCACTTTTAACACAATTAGAAAGTATTTTCGACAAGTTAAAAGCTATGGAATGAAAAGAATTTGTAAGCTGACATTTGCGGTAAACATATTTGTTCATTTTGGCTTGCTTGAAAGCATTTTAGATAAACTAAAACTACATGTCGTCACCGAAGTTTTGTGCTTTTTCTGAAAGACCTAAAAACTTATTTTTAATGGTGAGCCAATAGGTTTTTGTTTATTCGATAAATCCTTTTTTGAACGTGCAAAAACTTGTCGAAGTCGATCGTTCTGTAGAACAAACACTTCTCTACAAAATCTGATGTTGAACTAATGAGAGAACCTCTTCAATTGTTTCCCTTCCACTTTCAATGACTTTTTGCTCCTATAGATACCACATAGTATTCTAATAAAAATCCTTAGAGGATTTAAATTTCGATTGATATTTGACTAACGAGGCAAAGTTCTCAGATACAACTCGCCGTTTTGAATCGGATCTATATTAGTTAGTAGAGCTCGGTGAGTCTAGTGGAAGCATAAAAGGATTCATCCTCATACATTGTTCTTCTTGAGTTATGATCATTTTACTGAATTTTCGATCTCTTGTAAGGTATATATGGAAAAATCGAATTACAGGATTTTGACCTGAAATTTTGCTCATGGATAGGTCTCCTGGCCCTTAAAATTTCAGCCCAAAAGAATGCTTTTCTTTTCAGATTCATGATCATTCTTTGGATACTCAATATCCACAGAATAAAACATTCTTTTAGCCTAAAATTTTTAGAACATTCTAAGGAACATGAGATTTATCGATGGGTACATTTTCAGGTCAAAATTTTAGTAAAACGGTCATATCTCGAGAAGGACAGCGTATGAGGATGAACACTTTTAGGCTTCATCTAATCTCATCAAGCTCTACTAACTTCGTAAACCCATATTCAAAAAGAACATCCTAATTCATCGAAAATACTTTTCAATAACTCGTTATTTTGTTTTTAATAGAAAGTAGAAATGAAAATTTTTACCAGTTTGAATATAATAATCAGTAATTTGAATCAATGATGACCAATGAATTTTTGAAATATTAAATTCTAATCGATAAATACTTGCTTCAGTTAAATGAATAAATAAGGCAGTTTTTTGATTATATTCTATTGGATTTTCTAATAGATTTGTTTCAAGATTTCTTAATTGAACTTGAACATAAAATGGATGATTAAGCCAAGTTAATCGAACAATTGTTTCATTTAAAAATTCATGTCGAATAGAATTAATTGGTATTTGACTAAGATCTAATAAAAATATTTTTTTTTGTATTTTCTCAAAAAACACAAAAAAAAAATTAATTTATTAATTACTTGTTTTAATAGAACATGTTTCAGTTTTTTGACCATTATAATTTGGTAATATTTTTTTTAATTTAGCTATTATATAATATTCTCTACCTGATTC